CTCAATGCTGCCATCATGACTCATGAAACTGTATTATTACGAATTCGTAAGTTGAGATACGAAAGTGTTGCACTAGTGTATTACACATTAAATTATCTGCATGATATTCCATGAAATTGTTTTAAAAATGCACATTCTTGTGTTATCTGTTGTCTAATTGGCACTGAAATACGTTACGTATCCTGCACTACTTCCAGTGCCTAAGATATGCATGTCATTAATCCAACCTCTTGAAGTGACTGTAGTGGATGATAGTTGTTTAATTGTATCAACAGGAAATGCAGACAATATTAATATAAGGCCATTTATTAATTAAAAGTTACAGTTATAAGAGCGGTACATCTTAGAAGTCGATACAGATCTTAGGTGCAGGAACCATCATGCAGTTCGTTAGTAGAGGTTTGTTTCTGAACATGCTTACCAGTATCCTTATTTCCGATAACTGAACTAATTCCGTAGTGTGATCTAATAGCATTCTAGAATTATGTCTACACCAAGAGGTGCAGGAATTAATTATCCGTCGGTCGTGAACTGGGAAATTCATCACCCGGACAGAATGGACTCTATATACGAAAGAAACTACACCAGAAGGCACTATGCTGAGGAAAAACACGTTCGGAGAAATTCCGGTTACTCTTGATATAGTAAGAAACAAGAATTAACAACAGTACTCTGATCTAGTGATGTATCGGATATCCGCATCCACATCCACGCCCGCGGAACATCCACACAATTTCCTACATCCGCATTTTACTGCAAACACATATCCGCATATGCATCCGCATCCGAATTCGCGGAACATCCGCACAATTTCTTACATCCCCATCCGCATCCGCAAAATAAGTAAGACATTCTCATACACATCAGCATCCTCGAATATCTAAATTTTCACATCCGAAACATCTCTATTCTGATCTATCTATGCGAAAGAGCCGACCTGATCCTCCTCTCGTCTTTACATTTACTAACATGACGCAGGTTGAATCCACTACTTATCTACAGGGTCGACCCTTATGATAACCATACATATTATGAGGAGAAAGAACACATATGAGAGAATTTTCAACAAAGTATTGCATCCCTGGACTGGAGATCTAAGTGTTGTCATGACAACTCTTGCATCCCTGGACTGGAGATCTAAGTGTTGTCATGACAACTCTTGCATCCCTGGACTGGAGATCTAAGTGTTGTCATGACAACTCTTGCATCCCTGGACTGGAGATCTAAGTGTTGTCATGACAACTCTTGCATCCCTGGACTGGAGATCTAAGTGTTGTCATGACAACTCTTTCTTAGTGTCGTGAACTATACTGAGGTGCCTGGGATTCTTACAATAGAATGAGCAACATCCTTGGTAATATTTAATTGATAGATACTAAGTTTCAACAAACTCATTGGTCATTTATGAAAGTAAATGAAGCGCATCGACAGGTGTTTATACAGACAGCAAAACTGATAAATAAATGATACATGAATCTGTGAAATATTAACAAGTTAATTCCTTAAGGTAATAAATTCTACAGTGACAAAAAGAAGAAAGAAGTCAACACACAAGTGAAAATCTGCTGGACAACTACCACAACATCAAGGAAGAGCCAGAGAGGAAAGACAGGCATTAATTTGCAAATAAAATCGACCTTGTCGATTCCATGTTCATGTCTGTGTTCAGATTGTATTTACTTTCCAGCAATTAATTTATAATCTGTTATTAATATATTTAGATAGGGTGATAACCTATCTAGTGTAATATTAACATTTCACGGAAAAACCGGAATTACTACTAGCAGCCAATTATATTAGACTGATACGTTATTATTTAGTTATGTTAGATTCACCATCATATATTATTTACATATTCACGACAAAACCTGCTACAGGAGTAAGTGATACTATCGTTTGCTCTCCATTTTGTTAATAAACAATGATCTCAGAATCTTAGCAACACATTATGGGGCTCCAATACGATGCAATATGAGGCAATATGAGGCAATATGGTGCAATATGAGGCAATATGAGGCAATATGATGCAATATGAGGCAATATGAGGCAATATGAGGCAATATGATGCAATATGATGCAATATGAGGCAATATGAGGCAATATGAGGCAATATGAGGCAATATGAGGCAATATGAGGCAATATGAGGCAATATGAGGCAATATGAGGCAATATGAGGCAATATGAGGCAATATGATGCAATATGAGGCAATATGATGCAATATGAGGCAATATGAGGCAATATGACGCAATATGAGGCAATATGAGGCAATATGATGCAATATGAGGCAATATGAGGCAATATGAGGCAATATGAGGCAATATGAGGCAATATGAGGCAATATGAGGCAATATGGTGCCTAAGTGCCAATGGATTAAAATATAAATGCACATACATAAATATTTATCTGATATCATTGTATAAATCCTAAACTTATATTAAGCAATACTAGAGATATTAATTATGAAAAACACATTAAAATGATCTTTCAAAAATTAGTTTTATGGCTAAAAAATAATATGTCAGTGTGTTGCTCAGTATCCTGAGTATGGTGATGACAGCCCAGAGTTGTTGTGCTTCACCTGGTCCAGGACCTGACTATGGTGATGACAGCCCAGAGTTGTTGTGCTTCACCTGGTCCAGGACCTGACTATGGTAATGACAGCCCAGAGTTGTTGTGCTTCACCTGGTCCAGGACCTGACTATGGTGATGACAGCCCAGAGTTGTTGTGCTTCAGCTGGTCCAGGACCTGACTATGGTGATGACAGCCCAGAGTTGTTGTGCTTCAGCTGGTCCAGGACCTGACTATGGTAATGACAGCCCAGAGTTGTTGTGCTTCAGCTGGTCCAGGACCTGACTATGGTGATGACAGCCCAGAGTTGTTGTGCTTCAGCTGGTCCAGGACCTGAGTATGGTGATGACAGCCCAGAGTTGTTGTGCTTCAGCTGGTCCAGGACCTGACTATGGTAATGACAGCCCAGAGTTGTTGTGCTTCAGCTGGTCCAGGACCTGACTATGGTAATGACAGCCCAGAGTTGTTGTGCTTCACCTGGTCCAGGACCTGACTATGGTAATGACAGCCCAGAGTTGTTGTGCTTCAGCTGGTCCAGGACCTGAGTATGGTAATGACAGCCCAGAGCTGTTGTGCTTCACCTGGTCCAGGACCTGACTATGGTAATGACAGCCCAGAGTTGTTGTGCTTCACCTGGTCCAGGACCTGACTATGGTAATGACAGCCCAGAGTTGTTGTGCTTCAGCTGGTCCAGGACCTGTCTATGGTAATGACAGCCCAGAGTTGTTGTGCTTCAGCTGGTCCAGGACCTGACTATGGTAATGACAGCCCAGAGTTGTTGTGCTTCAGCTGGTCCAGGACCTGACTATGGTAATGACAGCCCAGAGTTGTTGTGCTTCACCTGGTCCAGGACCTGACTATGGTAATGACAGCCCAGAGTTGTTGTGCTTCAGCTGGTCCAGGACCTGAGTATGGTAATGACAACCCAGAGTTGTTGTGTTTCAGCTGGTCCAGGACCTGAGTATGGTAATGACAGCCCAAGTTGTTGTGCTTCAGCTGGTCCAGGACCTGACTATGGTAATGACAGCCCAGAGTTGTTGTGCTTCACCTGGTCCAGGACCTGACTATGGTAATGACAGCCCAGAGTTGTTGTGCTTCAGCTGGTCCAGGACCTGAGTATGGTAATGACAGCCCAGAGTTGTTGTGCTTCAGCTGGTCCAGGACCTTACTATGGTAATGACAGCCCAGAGTTGTTGTGCTTCAGCTGGTCCAGGACCTGACTACGGTAATGACATCCCAGAGTTGTTGTGCTTCACCTGGTCCAGGACCTGACTATGGTAATGACAGCCCAGAGTTGTTGTGCTCCAGCTGGTCCAGGACCTGACTATGGTAATGACAGCCCAGAGCTGTTGTGCTTCAGCTGGTCCAGGACCTGACTATGGTAATGACAGCCCAGAGTTGTTGTGCTTCAGCTGGTCCAGGACCTGACTATGGTAATGACAGCCCAGAGTTGTTGTACTTCAGCTGGTCCAGGACCTGAGTATGGTAATGACATCCCAGAGTTGTTGTGCTTCAGCTGGTCCAGAACTTGACTATGGTAATGACAGCCCAGAGGTATTATGCTTCAGCTGGTCCAGGACCTGACTATGGTAATGACAGCCTAAAGTTGGTGCGCTTCAGCTGGTCTAGTAATAGTCTTAGTGAAGTTACTGAGTGATTTATGCCAATTACTTGGTGCTATATCCCAATTACTGGATGATATATGCTAGGTGCTGGTGTTGTGTTCCAACTCCCGGGCTCTACATGCCATCTGTTGTGTAATATATGACTTCTAAAAAATATGCAACAAATTCTGGATAATATGTAATATGGCGACAGGATGATATACTGGGTACTATGTTTCAATTACTGGACGATATATGACAATTGTTAGTTGAAATATGACAACTAAGGGATGCTGTTTGTCAAAGACAGGATGCTGTATACCAACTACTAGATAAAATATATGAGTTGGACCTGACTAGCTTGTGCTACTAGGTCTGATACCGTGCTCCTTCCTTAAGTGGATGTGACCTTACTGGGTGGGTCATTGGTCTAAGCCGGGGAGTGACATATACCTGTCTCAGGCCAGTAGGTCTGCTGCAGTGTTCCCTTTTTCTTATGTTCTTAAAATATAGCAAGTAAGGGGTGCTGTTACGGCAACTTCCAGTTAATAATGTACTGCTCGATGATGTGACAAATACATCACCATGGTAACTTGTTGACAGTTGTAGCATAATGGTAACTTGTTGACAGTTACATGAACATGGCCTCTTGTTGATTGCTGCATCACCAAGGTAACCTGACTAAAGTTTGTATTAACATGAATACAGGAGGCAAACTCATCTCTAAGTACCACCTTGAAACACGAGACATGTTGGAGTCACTGATTTCCTTATACCAGGTGAATCACTCACCTTGGATCACGAGACATGCTAGAGCTACTTACCTCCTTGTACCAGGTGATGCGCTGCACTGCAGGATTGGCCACTACCTGACAGTCGAAGTAAACATCATCACCTTGTCGTATGTGATGTGGTCGTAGCGACGACCCTAGCTGAAGACGGACCAGCGGAGCGTCTGAGGGGTCAGTAATAGAAGTTTGTATTAGTTAATTAGTTAGTTACCAGTTATCAAAGGCACTGGTTGATAGACACTTAGCCTGTTGAGTATGTATATATTCACACATTTATACTCATATATGGTTGCTGGGATCGAGTCACAGCTCCTGGCACCGCCTCTTCTCTGGTTACTACTAGTTCCACTCTCTCCCTAATACAAGAGTCTTCTTAAATTTATGTATGAATTCTGCCTCCACTACTTCGCTGTCCGGATTTTTCCACTTCCTGACAACTCTAAGGCTGAAAAAAATATTTCCTAACAACGCTACGACTCACCGACTTTCCAGCTTTCACTTTTGTCCCGTTGTTGCTGTGTTCATCTCTGAAATTTTCTGTACCTATTCAGTATTTTAAATATCATTATCATGTCCCCCTATCCCTTTTATCCTCTAGTGCCGTCATGTTGAGTTTCATTAACCACTCTACTCATAGGACATTTTCCAACGCTCCGAGACTAGACTTGTTGCAAACCTTTGCATTTTCTCTACTGAATTGATATGCTTAACCAGGTGTGGGTTCCACACTGGTGCTGCATACTCCAATATGGGACTAACATATACAATGTACAATGTCTTGAATGACTCCTTACATAGGTTTCGAAACACTGTTATTAACTTTGTCAGGCGCCCATATCCTGCAGCAGATATGTGGTTGATGTGCACCTCGGAAGATGTGCTCCGTATGATACTCATCCCAAAATACTTTGGTATGAGTGAGGTTTGAATCCTTTGGCCGCCTTGCTTATACTCCATCTGCGGAGTATTTCCAAGTAGTATATGACTTTCTCCAGTCTTCATGACTTTGCCCTTGGAGGGGTTAAACTCTAAGAGTCAGTTTCAAGACCAGGCCTGCAGCCTGCTCAGATCCCTTTGAATGACTACTTGATCCTATTCTGCATGAATTCTCCGCATTAGCTTCACATCGTCTGCAAAAAGGGACACTTCTGAATCCATCCCTTGTGTCATGTCATTCACACGTATACCAGAAAAGCACTGGTCCTAGGACTGACCCCTATGGAATTCCGCTCATCACAGGTGCCCACTCCGACTCTTTGTCATGTACAATGACTCGATGTTGCCATCCTGTGAGGTATTCTCTGATCCAATGCAGTGCCTTCCCTGTTATACCTGGTCCTCCAGCCTTTCCAGTAATCTCTTGTGTGGAACTGTGTCAAAAACTTTTTACAGTACAAGAAAATGCATTCTACCCAACCTTCTCTCTCTCTTGTCTTACTGCTGTAGCCTTGACATAGATCTCCAGGAGGTTTACGACACAGAATTTCCCATCCCTGAATCAGTGCTGGTTGTAACTGACAAGCTCATTCCTTCACCTGATAATCTTCGCCATGACTTTGCATACTAGGCATGTAACTGATATTGGTCTGTAGTTTAATGCTGCACGTCTGTCTCATTTTTTTTAATTGGGACTACATTTGCTGTCTTCCATATCTCAAGTAGTCTCCCTGATTCGATAGATATGTTGAAGATTGTTGTTAATGGTACACAGAACGCCTCTGCTCCCACTCTCAGGACCCAAGGAGAGATGCTGCCTTGCCCCATCACCTTTGAGGTATCTAGTTCGTTTAGCAGCCTCTTCACCTCCTCCTCGGTTGTGTGTATTGTGTCCAGAACTTGTTGGAGTACACCAACACTCCGTGTTTCTGGAGTCCTATCTGTCTCCACTGTGAACACTTCTTTAAATCTCTTGTTGAGTTCCTCCCAAACTTCTCGGTCATTTCTTGCGAGGTCCTCTGCTTCCTTCTTCAGCCTGATTACCTGGTCCTTTACTGTTGTTTTCCTCCTGATGTGGCTGCACAATAGTTTTGAGTTGGACTTATCTTTCGCTGCTATTTCATTTTCTTATGGTCGATGGGCCTTCCTCCTTACCTATGCATATTCATTTCTGGCTCTTCGATTATTCTCCTTATTCTCATGGGTCCAATGCTACCTAGATTTCTTCCATTCTCTATTGCATTTGGCTTGGCCCCTCTGCACCTCCGAGTGAACCAAGGGCTCGTCCTGGCCTTCTCGTTATGCCTGTTGCCCTTGGGTACACCACCCTTCCCTCCTCCGCTTCCTTGCAAATTGTTGTCACATATTCTATCATCTCATTTACTGATTTTCCCGCTAGTTCTCTGTCCCACTGAATTTCATACATGAAGTTCCTCATGCCTGTGTAGTCCCTCTCTCTTGTAGTTTGGTTCATTAACCTCGCCCTTCCTGCTTCCCCTCTCCACTTGCGCGTGGTGTGTGTGTGTGTGTGTGTGTGTGTGTGTGTGTGTACTGACCTAGTTGTGGTTGCAGGGGTCGAGTTACAGCTCCTGGCCCTGCAACTTCACTGCTCGCTAATAGGTCACTGTTCCTGCTCTACGAGCTTTATCATACCTCTTCTTAAAGCTATGTATGGATCCTGCCTCCACTACATTACTTCCCAGACTATTCCACTTCCTGACAACTCTGTGACTGAAGAAATACTTCCTAACATTCCTGTGATTCGTCAGAGTCTTCAACTTCCCTTGTTACTGTGTCCCATCTCTGGAACATCCTGTCTCTGTCCACCTTGTCAATTCCTCTCAGTATTTTATATGTCGTTATCATATCCCCTCTTTCTCTCCTGTCCTCCAATGTCATCAGGCAGATTTCCCCTAACCTCTCCTCGTAGTGCAAACCTTTGCACTTTCTCTAATTTCCTTACTTGCTTGTCTAGGTGTGGGTACCAAATTGGTGCTGCATATTTCAATATAGGCCTGACGTACACGGTGTACAGAGTCTTGAACAATTCCTTACTGAGGTATCGGAAAGCTATTCTCAGGTTTGCGGGACGCCCATATGCTGCAGCATTTATCTGGTTAATGTGCGCCTCACCCCGAGATCCTGTTCCTTGAGTGAGGTTTGGAATCTTTGGCCACATAGCCTATAATCTGTCTGAGGTCTTCTTTCCCCTTCCCCGATCTTCATGACTTTGCATTTGGCGTGGTTAAATTCAAGGAGCCAGTTGCAGTGGTAGAATTAAGTAGTGTTAGCATGATGACTCATGGAATCTAGGTTCAAAGAGCAACACTGCAACTTCATTCAAGGAGCCACTTGCTTGGCCAGGCTTGCAGCCTGTCCAAGTCTCTTTTTAGTCCTCGTCCGAGTGAAATCTTTTTATCAGCTTCATATCATCTGCAAAGAGAAACGCTTCTGAGTCTGTTCGTTCCATCATGTCATTCTCAGAGTCCTCTTTCTGTCTCCACTGTAAATACTCCTTAAATCTCATGTTGAGCTACTCACATACTTCTTTGTCGTTTATTATGAGCTCCCCACCTTCCTTCTTCAGCCTGATTACCTGGTCCTTGACTGTCAGGCTTGACTTACGATGCTATGTCATTTACGTACTGGTGCTGGGCCTCCCTCCATGTCTGTGCATAATCGTTTCTGGCTCTTAGACTGATCTCATTATTTTCCTGGATCCATTGTCTTCTGAACTTTTCCATTCTCTTTGCCCCCTACACCTTTGGGTGACCCAAGCACTCGTTTTGGTCTTTCTGTTATTTCTGTTGCTCTTGTAAACAAGCCTCTACTCTGTCTTCTTTCATTTTGTCACAGTCCATTACGTTAACTGATTTTCCTACTAACTCTCTTTCCTACTGAACCTCTTGCAGAAGGTTCCTCATGCCTGTGTAGTCCTCCCTTTTGTAGTTTGACTTTTCCTATCCTACTCCTGTTACCTTCTAAACTTGTAACTCTACTATGCACTCAAAGCTCAAAAACCAGGTGATCACTAGCTCCAAGGGACCTTTCATATGTGATGTCATTGATATCCGAGCTACTCAAGGTGGATATGAGGACCAGTTTTGCTGGTTCATCCTCACCTCTCTCTTTGGTAGTGTCCCTAACATGTTGATGCATGAGGTTTTCCAGTACCACATTTATCATCTTGTCTCCCCATGTTTTTGGACCTCAGTGGGGCTCCAGGTTTTCCCAGTCAATCTCCTTGTGATTGGAATCACCCATGTGAGCTCTGCTGGCCACCTCAGCTAGTGTCCACTATTGCTCTGTTCTCTCTTCATATTCTTCTCTTTGCTTCCTGCAGTTCTTTGGCAGGTTGTACATCGCTGCAATGACTACCTTATGTTCTCCAGACTAAATTGTACCTTCTAAGTAGTCGCATTCGCCCGTTTCGTCCATTCCTTCCATTTCCTCAACTCCACATCAGTTTTTCATGAGCAATGCAACTCCTCCTTCTCCTCTGCTCCCTATATCTTTCCTCACGATCCGATAACCGGGTATGAAAACTGCATCTGTTATGCCGGTGAGTGTCGTTTCTGTGAGTGCCATAATATCTGGGGGCGTCTCCTTTATTCTTTTATGCTACTCCTCACATTTATTTGTTATTCCATCTGCATTCGTATATGAAACCTTCAACTTCTTTCCAAAACTGTGGTCTAGGGACAACGTTGGGGTTGGCAGAATGGGAGGTCTGCCAGGGAACTATGAGGAAGCTTCTGTGGGGGTGGAGTTTATGATAAGGGAGCTAGGGGCAGTGGGTATGGTGTGTGGGTTTTGGGTTAGATTGTTTGGTTGCACTGGGGTTGTCATGACTGAGGTCTTTCTGCATGTGGTTCTGAGAAAGGTTGTATTTGCTTTTCCTTTTGAGTCTGGGTTCTCCTGCTCATCTTTGTCTTTGCCTCTCTTTCCTCCTTGCATATTTGTACCCTCTGTTTCAGTTTCTGCCTTTCTTATTGTGTTCTGCTGCAGTCGAGGTACACCCTTCGGTACGTCAGTATGCCCCTTAGTTGTGCATTCTCCAGCAGGATCCTGTTTCAAGCCAATTCTGCCTTGAAAATCACTGTGACTGGCCGGTTTTTACCTCTTGCAAACCTCTCTATTCTCAGAAAATTTGTCAACTGGGTCATGTTGTCCTCTCCTATTGCTTTCATGACACTTTTAATCACTTTATTGTCCCCTTCTCTTCTTG